TACATACTCACATACAGGAGATCGGATCAGTTGGAGATCATCGGTTATTCTGATTCTGATTTCGATTTCGCGGGATGCCAAGATAGTAGGAGATCCACTTCAGGCTATATTTACCTGCTTGCTGGAGGTGCTATTTCCTGGAAGAGTGCTAAACAGACACTCATAGCTACTTCTACCATGACAGCGGAGTTTATAGCGTGTTATGAGGCATCAAATTATGGAATATGGCTGCGTAATTTTGTCACTGGGCTGCGTATTGTGGACAATATAGAAAGACCACCTAAGATATTTTGTGACAATAAATCAGTAGTGTTGTATTCCAATAACAACAGGAGCTCGACAAAGTCAAAACACATAGAGATCAAGTTCCTTGCTATTAAAGAAAGAGTTCAGAGTGGACAGGTGTCAATAGAGAATATTGGGACAAACCCCATGGTTGCGGATCCGCTTACTAAGGGATTGATACTCAAGGTCTTTCATGAGCATACTGCTCATATGGGTGTAATGTCTCTTGAGGATATCTAGTTTCAGTGGGAGTTTGTATTTTTGTTTTTCATATTGGACACATGTACTGTTATTTTGGGTACGGTTTAAAGTTAAAGTTATTTTCAATTATAAAGTTATTTGGTTAATTATCTCTGAACTTGTTTAAAATGATCTCACTAAAGTATTAAGGTGGACCAGTTAGAAATAGGCATGTTACAGATCACATTACATGTAATTTTCATGCTACACATCCATGCTTGATCCATGTCATTCGGTTATATTGATATACGTGACCATTGATGGGTTTAGTTACGTGAAAGTAGCGAAAGCCGCTTTGATCCTATATTGATATGATTGATGGACTGGATTGTTTGGGGATACATTCGGTAATAATAGCAAAATTCTGAGTACTCATAAGGTCATTTTAATGCACAATTATAAGATGACACATATAGCCCAAGTGGGAGATTGTAAGGATTTTTAATTAAAGATGGGCTTGTATGTGTAAATAATTGTGTGTTAAATTATAGGCTATCGAATTCGATTGAACCCAATTAAAGTGATCTAATAAGGTTTCAGTTTTGGGTTTTAATGTATTCAATTAAAGTATGAGTTTACATATGTGTAGAGACCGGGCCCAAGTCCTAATTCTATGATGGGCTGAATTAGGTCAAAGGGCATTCCTATATAAATAGGTTATGGTCCCCAGATCACACGCAACAAAACGTATTATTCATTCTCTACTGCATCCTATCACAGAGAGGAAAAGGAGTCTGCGTGTAGGTTTGGAAGATCATACCGCGAAATTCATATTGCATTAACCATGTTAGATTCAGGTATGCTTCCGCTTTAATTCTTATATTTCTCGATAATTTAACATGAAAGATCCAATAATTTAAAGCATTAAATTATCCAACACGCAATTCTATCGTCAATTTTATAGAGAGGGTTAAATCAATTTTTGTCAAAATGTGTTGGTCATAAGATGATTTTTGAATTGGTTAAAACCAACTGTCAAATTACTATCCCTAAATTTAGCAAGTACATGTGATTTTTTTATTCACTCCAACTTCGTCTCAGCCATATTCCTTCGAGCATTATGTTATATAATGATTTACATTTTGGTGCTAGCATATTCAAGAGACTCACTATTTATAAAGATTATTTGATGTATAATAGAAAATATCTTTAAACTTAGAAAATAAAGTTTTTTATACATTACAACAAATTCACTATAATTTGGCTCTCTTTTTTTTATTTTTTTATTTTTATTTTTATTAAACTTTTGTTTTACCCCTATCTTTCATTAACATATTTTTCTCCTCATCTTTGATTTAACATACTTTTTAAAACTATACATAATCAATCAAGTCAAATATAGTTTGAATAATTTGAGAAGTAGAATATTGACCTTGTAATGTATGATGTAATCATTATAAAGTGAAAATAGAGAGTTGCTCTTTATTAAACAAATAAATAAATAAATAAATAAAGGTAAAAAAGAAAGAATCTCTTGAATCTTATTTTTATGCATTGACTCCCTAAAATAGGAGAAAAACTGCGGTAGGACGGTCTTCCGTGGTGGGCCACCCGATGAGGTGGTGGCTCCTCATTTGACGGTCGCATCATGTAGAATAATGCAATCATCCCACCGAAATTTTTCTCTTAAAATAGGAAACATCTTATATTTATAGAGTTTCATTGAGATACTCTTAGTTCGTGCAACATTGACTTCTTGACTTTTGATTAGCTCAATTTTTATTTTTTTTATACGTGTTTTTACTTTGTTGTTTGAAAAAGCTTTTGATCAAAGTTTTAGTTGATTTTTAAGAATGTTAATGAAATTTATAGTTAAAAAATTAATAGGAGCTGCAAATCTATACATGTATGGTTAAAATTGAAATTGACTAGTTTAAAAGTTGGTAGAATTTTACCAAAATTTTATCAAACAAGCACTTAAGTTTATGATACCTTATTGTTTACCCCGCCTTCGCTTCTTGAATCATTCTTGCCAATTTGAGAAATCGTAAACAATTAATACCATCTTTAGATTGAAAATATTATATTTTAGAAAGAACAAAAAATACAAGTAATGAAAGAACCATAATACTTAAAGCTCATGTACTACAAAGCTTTCTTATACTCTATCCCTTGGTGTTGGGTCCTTCCAAATGAACAACACTGAACAAGATTAGAAAGAAAATTTTAAAATACATTGATTTCTTTGTGCAGCCATATTTCCAATACTTTGAAAGAAACATGCTGTTAGTGATTGGAAGCGGCTCTCGAGAGCATACTAAGAATGGAATGTAGAGCAGTATATGCTATTCTTGACTTGATCTGTCCCCTCTTGGGCAATGGCTTTGTGTTACTCAATCCTTTAATTGCTGCAGCAGAGACAGTACTGATCTTGCTAGTCATAGTTGAAGCTCCCATGCTATCACTCTTTTGAGACTGAAGTCGCAAAATGGGACTTCTGTTGTAGCCTAGACAAAATCAATGGAGGTTTATTTATCCGTGACTGTAATAGATTCTTATGCTTCTTATTTGAACCACTTGAAGGTCTCTCTATATATATAGCACAAGCAAATCCTGTTGGAATACCAGGGGCTAATGAGAAATGGATTGAGATGGTATGCCACGGGCCTTGTCTAGCTGTATAAAGATTTCTTTAATCTCAAATTGTGACAAATTGGATTCCCTATGAATATTTATTAGGATGGTGGTTCAAAATGGTCAATAGTTTAATTTGCATGATGTTTTGAGGCGGCCTGGACCTTGAACACGTGTGGGTTTGAGAAGATTGCGAGAATCTGAACAAAATATGTAATCTTGAAATCAATACATTTTTGACACATCGAAATATCGTCTCTTCTTATATAATCGGAAGATGCCAAGATGATGTATCATGGTGTCAAAAATGTATTGATAAGACAATCAAAAAGACAATAGATTAGACTAGATTCAAAACTGAATGATCAATAGCCACGATTTGATTTTTTCAAAAAGTTGACAGCTAGACAATCACGATAAATTAATCAATGCATGTGTAAAGGGTCGAGGGAGCAGCTTTCTTTCTTCGACCTTTTGGGGACGACTTGAGGATTCTTGTTTTAATTTTAACCAACTCTACGTATTGCTGCACGTGCTCAATAATATCATTTCAAAAGCACTAACCTGTATGCAAATTTGTCTTGGAACGTAGCGTTATCTTTAGGGTAAATAAGCGTTAGCATTCCTAACTTTTCACTTCGTATGATTTTGGATCCTCATTCTTTAGAAGTGAAATTTTCAATTTTCAATCTATTTAAATATATGAATTTGATTGCTACGTGATGGAAATCGTCAATTTAGATATTAAAGTTGCATGCTACCTTTAATTGAATTGAATATAAATATTAAGTGATTTGACGACTTGTCCTTCATATGTGAATCATGTAAAAGTCGTACATAATTTTTAACCACAAGTTTCATTAGATTTATAACTTTTTTATCATTATATATTTCACGACTCAGAAAGCTCTGTTAAACATGTATTGTTAACAAATGGACTATAGAACTATTATTTTATACTTGTTATCCTTGTTTGCTGTGACTTAATTTGAGCTACAAGCTCTTGATCAATGACTGTTTAATTAAATATATGAGCACATGAAGAAAACATCCAATGGAAGAAAAAAGGACCCGAGAGTCATTTGTAGGTTTCGACACGTGTCCCCCATTTTTAACCCAATTTTTTAGCATTTCTCATACCATATATTCCAGCTTATAGAAGGTATAATTAAAGAATATTTTGTCTCTCTATTCTCTACCAGCAATAAATGTTTTATGTATTACATTTAAGAATGGCTTCATAATTGTTGTTTACAGATACAGCTAAACATAATCAGATTTGTTCCTCAGCAAAACCAATACATGAATTTCTCAAAGGGACATAAATAATTCATAATGGCCTGTCTCCCTATATATATATAGTCCCAACCGTGCATATAATCTAATATTTGCCATTGTCTCAACCCGGCGCACTTTGAAACCAACCTTAGCCTGAAATTCTATTTATCTGATGTTATAGGAATGACAATGGCCGGACACGACAGGACGGCCGTTACTATCCCCGCTCGATCAGGGCGGGATTCGATTTAAAAATTTCTCATTTTCAGTTGCTTTTAATTTATTGTTTGTTAATGAATAATTTTAAATTATGATTTAACTTGAAAAAATAAAAATAGTCAAGAGGGTTAAAGTAAATTTAGAGTGGAAATATGTTCCCTATTCTCGCCCAGTTTATCATTTGGGACAACTGGACAAGACTTCGGAACGAATAATTTTTGTCATCACTGCCTATTTATTTTTGTTGTCAACGTGTATGATTTGTCCTAAAACTGAAATAATTTGAATGCAAAATCAAATCATTACTTGATTATTTGCTCCCTAATGATCAAGCACTTAAAGATAAACTAATTGAAAAACCAGCGGCTTCTACAGAATCTTCAAGGTCAAAACCATTTAGCTGGTATGCCTCCCCAATGTCCTGCCTAGAGGAGCCTGCTGCTATTTGAGTACGCCAACAAATTCTCCATTTCTCATTATCCATCCCACCCCCAAAACAAGCCATTCCAACCTATATATATATAGATAGCAATTCATGGAAATCAAAATCAGGCAACCAAGAATACAAATTCAACAATCTTGGAAAAAAAAAAGGATTTTTCGCATAAACCAGTTTGCAAAATGAGGACTAAAGTATATGATGCTGCTTCTGCTCCTGCATTCGACAAGAATTATAAGAGGAGAAGGCCAATTCCAAAGAGAGGGCAAATCATAATGAGAATAGCAGCAAAGGCATTTCAATCACTGGTTCATGTTATTTCGACATCTTCAGTTTATTCGCCAAGGAAATCATAGTTATCATGGCATTATATGAAGTCCATGTACCACTTTTCCTTATCTTTTTTATGTAAATCAAATTATTTGGGGATTGATTTCGTTATGAATGAATCTTTATGAAGCAATTGTTTTGGCCTCACTTAACAAATAAATATGACTCCTCTCTAACAACTTAAGTTTTCAAATAAAGTGTTCGACTAATAAATAGCTAAAAAGTTTAAACCATTTTGTGGATTGATTCATATACGGGACTACCTCGATTTCCACAAGAAATAACTGTTTATATACTATTGAGTACCAAGAATCAATGTTAGGAGTAGTAGTCAAGGAAGAAATATGAGGCTTTATAACTAAAAAGGTTAGACAACATGAAGTAATGCCTTTTCCTTATGCCAAGATTACCATATTCCTCAACTTCCTATATGATCTGTGACTTGAAATTATATGATCCAAAATCTTACTGTAAGCCCTTTGCAATGGCTTCTAGCGCCACATTTCCTTGGGTTGTTACTTGTCTACGGACCAAAACAGTGGCAAGGCACGCCCCTGGTGCCATGCCTCTGAAAAGAACATGTCACTTTGATCAGGCGGAAATTAAAAAGCCACAACTGATATTCACAACGAAGGAGATCAAACGGAAACCAGTAAAATTATTTGCAGCATCGTCCAGTGATTCAGATATCGATATAAGTTTTGTTTCTTCAGCTCAAATAATTATGCAATTTCACTCTGCTATCAATGAGAAGAATCTGAAACAACTCTATAGGTTAATAGCTAACGACTGTTGCTATGAGGACTACTCATTCCCTACACCATTTCAGGGGAAAAAGGTTTTTTTTTTTTTCCTTCAAATAGTATCATAATTATTCGACTTTTAGCACCCTGTACCGGTAACCAATTTCTTCCTTGAATGCAACAGGAGGCCCTGCGTTTTCTAGATCAGCTAATTGCCTGCATGGGTCGGAATATGAAGTTCAATATAGAACATATTTGGCAAGGGGATGACTCTACGGCTGGAGCAAATTGGCACTTGGGTATTTACTATTTACTCCATATTCTTGAAAGAATTTGATAAAGCCTTTCCAGGGACTATTTTTGTACCCACATCGATTCACACATTTTGACAGAACACTCAAAAACTTGCAAATGCAGAATGGAATAAAATACCGGTCCCTTTCACCAGAGGGTGCAGCTATTACAAACTATCAAGAGATGGAGATAGACTAGTCATCAAGTATGTAATAAGAAGCATTGCTCAGGCAATTAATCTCGCTGAAATTTTACCACTCTAGAGAAAACCATAACACACTTCACTAATTACATGCAGAGAAGCTCGAGTTCTTGTAGAGTCACCTACCAAACTAGGAGGTGTAGGACTGGTATTCGGAATTTTCTTCTCTCTATTTTTCATTATCATTTTCTGTGAGAACTTATGAACATGCTGTATCAACACGCAAAATTTATGTAGTAGTTGATCAAGGAAAATTTTCAGGGAACACCCTGCGTAGTTGATCAGTTTCATCACCTATTTTATTTTATTTTATTTATTTATTTTCCTATAGTTTGTCACCTTCTCATTTTTCCAATTCTGAAAACTAGAGCCTGTTCAAGATGGTGACTTTACTATTTGATGCATTCCCAGCGGCTACAGATTGTATGTAAACTTCCCTCACATGTTAATGCTTCCTAATAATTTATAAACTCTATATTAAGAATATGATTTTCCGCGCAGGGTTCTTGAAGAGTCCCGATGCCATCTTTCAGCTGTTACTAAAGAGTTACAAGATAGCTGTAGAGCCCATTATAAGCCAGCTTCTGGCATGGTACATCAGACTATTGAACTTCACAGCTCTCGTTCTTGCCTTCACACTACAGCACATTGCAAAGATCTTCAACATGTAAAGGGCAGTTTTTATTGTAGTCATAATTTCAAAATTTGCATTTGATACATTTATCTAATCTTTTATGTTTTCTACAAGTAAAGGATATAGACCAAGTTTATTCGTCAAGCCACATAGTTCACAAACCATTACCACGAACTAGAAGAAAAGGCTTCATACCACCTGTTAATCATCATTATGATCATGTTTAGTCCATGACTCGAGCATTGAGAGAGCAACCAATGGTCCCAGAAGTGGAGGTAGTGGAGGTGGTATACTTGCATCGGGTTCAGCCTTCTCTTTCTCTATACGTGCTTCACCAGCATCATCATTTACTTGTTTCTTTGGGGTCATTTTGCCAACTGTCGTAAATTTTGCAAAATCTATTATAAATTCTAAATACAATAAACATCGCACCATTCGAAGTGGGGCAGCAAAAAGATATGCAGAATTACCCCATCTTCCTTCAGAAGAAAAAATGTGCCTAAATTTGTTTGCTACAAGCCATGATGAAGCAACTCTGCGCATGTAACAACTAGTTCCGTTCTATCTTCCACAAAATACGTATCTGCAGAACTAAACAACTAATATCATTCAAGGGAAGCACACATTTTATGATCACAAAGGCAGCTTCTGTTATTCTGTTAGAGTTTTTTTCACATGCAGGTTATGTACTGTTTGTTTACACCAAACCAAATTCAGTGTCTAAAAAGGATTCATGTGTTCTTGAAGTTGTACACAACTACTGAGATCAAGTAAGTTTACAATATAGGATGACATTCGGCATTAGCAATGAACATCTCAAAAATGATGAGGCTGGATGACAGAAAATAAAGACTAAGAAGTTTACATGGTATATTAATCGGGATGATCAACACTGCAGCACTAACATTAATCAAATAAAATTCACTAAAATTGAAAGATGTTCATTACCGTGCAATGCCCTTTTCAAGTTACAAAAAATGTGAAATCCATTGAAATTTCCCTTTAGAAGTTGTTTTAGTGGCACAAACTTCAGCATCTTTTGATCGTATCTTGCAACTACTTGAACCCACTATGTTGAACCAGCTCATTTAACACTTAAACAATAGGTGAAGACACAGACGTTTACTTAATTTTGTATACCTGTACAAACTGAATTTTTATCAAAAGTTAGACATGAGCACAATTTTACTTGACCAATTAATACCAGGATTCAATTTAAATCTCAAAAAGTGGAGATCTTGTGTTCGAATTCTAAAGGATGCGGCATAAGTCCATAAGAGGTAAGACGGGAGATAATCTCCCAAAACGAACACTACGTATGATATAATAGTCGAGCACGAGGCTACAGGTCGTAACAAAAAATGCGCATTATTTGTAATGACCTGATCTCTATGCTCAAATCATTAACTTACATATTGTCCGCTCAGAGACAGTCTGATCTCATCTTACCCTTCATGAATTTCTATTGCATCCTCAAAATTTGAACACAAGACCTTTGCCTTATAAGAAATATAAATTAAGCCCTTGTTTGATTAACATTATTTCTAAAATACATTTTTCTCTTTCTTCTTTTCAATCACACATTTTTAAATAGAATAATATTATATGCAAACTCAAAATTATTCCTTGTTTTTTGACCACACATTTTTTATCAATCTTTTATTCCAAAAACCACTCTTAACAAAAGAGATGGACTCAAACAGGCTCTAAATCCTTGTGTCAATTGGGTTGTACGATGGTTCGATTTTAAACTCTAATAAGGCAGGAATCTTAGGTTGGAATCCTGGGAACTTTATAGAAATTCATAAGAGGTAAAATAGGCTTAAATTATCTCAAAGTGGACAGTACATAAGTTAATGGCTTAGAGACAGTCGCCGAATCATTATCTTTGAACTCAAAATACATACATGCTCTAATAACGTATTGAATCACCTCATTTAAAGTTATACATATATATTGTAGAATATATGAAAAGATTATAAAGATTATTCTCCATGTTATTTTTTCAATTGTGTGTTGGATTATTTTACGTAATAGTTGATTGTGTGATTATCACACAATCTTTTCTTCTAGGGCACGTTTGATTACGAGCATGAAATTTTTATTTTAAAAAAAATTATTAATTAAATATATTTAATTGATTTAATTTTCATCTTAGAAAATATATACTTGTCCATTTTTTTTATTGATGGATACATAAGAGAGAAGGGATAAATGAGAGCGAAAGAAAAATTGGATTCCCTAAAAAAATAAAATCTTAATCCTCCTAAAGAAAATATTTTCCTTGATTTTGAGAAAAATATAGTTACATGACTAAAAGTAAAAAAATATTTTTAATGAAAAAATGTCATTCAAACAGCACAAAAGTCGAAATTTAAGTAAAAACACATTTTCTATAAAAAAATATTGGCAATCAACGTATCTTTACAGTTACTTGTAGCCATATAAATATGGTCTTTTACTTTGTAATATTAACAGAAGTTTGTTGTATACGATTTATAATATTTTAACATATATATTTGCTTTGGACATGTGGCTTCACGTGTATTACATTCCTTGTCGCCTAGCACGCGTATAATGATGAACCACCACATCTAAAATTTTAAATCGTAGTATTGATGGACCTCACTGATGGTTCATCACAATCCTATTCTTACCGGTATATAGTTTTGGGTTGACAATTTGACATTTTTAGTCGGAAAGATTGGTCAAATACTTCAGGAGGTCTGTAAAGATATCTTTAAAGATGAACAGATGATGATTCAAGTTCTCCCTAAATTAATGAACTTCAACCCATTAGGTGTTAACAAAATATTCTAATCATTTATAAGGAAGATGATATAGCGTTATTAAAGTGTAGAATTAACATTCATATACCATTTAACAATATATTCTGTCATTCTGTTGCATTTTCCTATTATTTTGCCAATATAACTTATACTCTTATACAAATATTGTCATATTTTAGTATTACGGAAAATATATATATACATGGATAAGTATTTATCTGCAACTGCAACTGCAAGAATATAAGAAATGAATAAGGTGAAAGCAAAGGGTTTTCACGTTACCTGTGGTGGTTTGCAGTGGGCAGAGAGAAACAGCTTTCTAATAGGTTTTATGCTATTTTTACGAAGTGTGTTTAGAAATTTAGTTGACAAAATTCAGGTCAATGATTGCCATTTATTTAAAAAAAAAAATTGAAATGATTGGTGTAAATATTATTTTGTCAATCAACTTTGTACATATAGCATGACTTCTTCTATCAGTGTCAAGATTCTCCACTTTACAGAGTAGTGAAAAAGTACACTCTTGAAAGTTGAAACTTCAGTCGTGATAGGCTGCAAATATGGGCTTATGTGATGTCACTTTCGTCATAATTTGGGAGGTTGGGCCTTAGTGTGGTTGGATCACAAATTGAGTCCGATATGACAAGGAAGCTTCACTAATACTATGTGGGTAAATTATTATATACATGTAGTGCAACCATTCTACATATAATCTCTGTTTTGTTTATATAAAAATTAGATTTTGAATAAAATTTGATATATAAAATATATTGTTAAAAAGTTATGAATTTCATGAAACCTGTAATTAAAATTAATTATTAACTTTGATATAAATTTTAATCCAATTTTTTAGCCAAACCAAATAGAAGCATAGCTCCACTAACAAAAAAAAGAAAATAATGTCTCGACATGATAACGACGTCAACATTGAGTTTCACCTGATCCTGCTTCGACTTTTTCAATTTATCATGTATGTCTCCGTCATGTTGAATGTCCTCGACCTTCCACTTGTAGTTGTGCCTCTTGGTACTACTTAAGATAGGCTGTCACAAAAAAATAAAATAAAATAAAATAAATCAATCTGGTACTCATAAAAACAAAAAACAAGACAAATTTTAGTCCATATAAAGAACGAGATCGCAACTTAACTTCCAAGTTGGCTTCAAAGCCTAATATCTCACTAAAGTTGAAATATATAAAAAAATTTAAGATCCTAATTATAATAATTTTAGCTTTTGTTGTATTAACAATTTGGATATCAAATCAACATACTTCTGAAAGAGGAAATTTTTGGAGATGGGAAATAATCTTATCCATGTTGCGAGTTTGACCAGGTGATACTAATAAAGTAGTCTAGATTCTCTAGAATTGAATAATTGCTTCCACTTTGTGTACTAATTACCTAAAAACATCGAAATGCTAAAAGAGCATTTTACTAATGCTAGGGTTTGGGGTCTTATGTCTGTTTGGATTTAAATTTATTAGAAAAATTAAGAGGGATAACTTTATTTTATCACCTTTAATTTCTAGAAATACAAACATCAAAATCTTCTTTGTAATCCAATAAAATATCATGAAAATGACATGAAATTATTGAAAATTGCGATTGTATTTCTTTCGTAATTATTTTAACTTTTAGATGAGATTGACTGATATGGTATTAAAGAATAACGTTAATAGATTTGAGTACAAGTCCCCTTGCTACCTAGTGTTAAATTTGTGCCATTGTTAGACCTTTGATGGGAAAATGAATCGAGACTACATTTGAAATGATGTGTTAAAGATATAATATAAATTAATAAATTTGTCCTTGACATAATATCTTAAATGAGGCGTTATTAATACCAAATATTAAAAAAATAAATAAAAATAAAAAATCTCATCCGTAGTGGTGGTTCGCCCAAAAAGACCACGACCGTCTTATCGTGTGAAAAGTATTATGTTATTTTGATGTTGACCGATCATGTGGTGGCAAACCCCACTTTGTCAAATGGATCTTTGAGTTGTCTGTTGCTTTTGCTGGTTGATGGAATGTAGCAGTTTACAGTTGTCACGTGTTTTCATTTTCTTGTCAAAACACTCTAAACATCTTTGAGAATCCTCTTTGATATCTCCTAATTCCCGATGAATTGTGTCTCTTAAGATTTCATTAAGGTACAGAACCCATTGTCTTCCGACAAATGCTATTATGTGAAAATTGGCGTCCCACCGCTGAAAATCACATTGCTATTAGCAAACAAGTTCAATGGAAAGTTTAACCAATATCGCATAAAGTTTCGATATACGGTGACAGTTCAAGAGGCAGCATCTTTAAGAGCTTGGAAGGCAGTAATCCCACTCAATGACCGAATTCGA